TGTCTGTCTGTCTGTCTGTCGTTCTTTCCGTCTGTCACTCAGGGTTTGCATCCATTGCTCCACACATGAACTCGTTTGCCCTGTGTTTGTCAAAGACCACGTCATTTACGAGATGAGTGTAAGATGAGTGTATTTTCCTGCCGTCTGGAGCAATTTGTGGCCAGAACCACCTGGCTTAGTCACCTCAAAGCGCTGCAGATTCAGATTCAGAGCATGGACATAAACTAAAATTCATAAATATGAATTTGTGTGTGTGTGTGTGTGTGTGTGTTTTTTCATATATGACACATTTTCAATGATGAAGTGCAGGCCTCTGGGAAAATGGCAGGAAACAACAGCTACTCCTCATGCATGTGTCTGGATAGTGTGCAGACACATGTGGAAAATGGTTAAAACAGGCATCAGAACACATGCTTTCATGCCAGTGTTGTGGCTTGGCTGTTGTGCTTTGGCTAATTTCAGTGAGGCAGGTCAATTCCTCTTTAAGAGACAGAGGCATGGCAAGAATCAAATTCACTCCTGGCCAGACAAGCAGTGGGGATACAGCTCATAAAACCTTGTCATTTGATAAGTCCTGTGTGGCAAGTTTAGCTGAAAACAGAACTGCTCAAATCAACCGTTCTCAGGTGCAGTATTCACTGAAATCCATGGAGTAGTCAACAAGATGGAACATTTGGATATTTCCTCAGCTGTGTTCAGGTTTTATAACTGGACTGATCTCTGTAATCTGTGGCAGTAAAGACACACATTTCTAGCAAATTGCATTTTACACAACTGACTGAATAATTGATTTTTTGCTGTGTGAAAATCTAATTTAGAAATGTGTCATGCAATATCTGTTATTTGATAGCATCCAGAAAGAAAGATCTAATAGCTGCTCAAAAACAGGATTTTTTAGCTTGTTAAACGTAGATTCATCAATACAGCTATTTTATTCCATATCTGACAATACTCTCCCAACTGAACTTTTTAACACATGTTGGAACCAAATGTCACTGTTCACTTTCTAGGCAAAAAAGCACAGATTTACTGTACTGCTTGACAGAATGACCTGATGATTGATCAGACTGTGTGTTGTACAGGTGCAAACATTTTTTGTCACCAGATTAAGGTGTTCCCCGGTGTGTTTCCCCTAATCCTCAGATAGCCATCCAGCCTGTGTTCCCCCGACTGCGCCAGGGTGCGTTATATCATGCCTCATGATCCATTCTAGACTTGCAAACAAATGTGTGTGTGTCTGTGTTTCTCCATGTTTTTACTTACTCTCAAGAAACTGTCCAGGGATCCATTCTCCATGTATTCTGTGACAATCATGACGGGTTTACCTGTAACAGAAGGGGAGTTTTCAATCTATAGTCACATTATATCAATTGCATCACTTACAAAGTGAGAACAACAACTTCTGTTTGCTGTGCAACATAACTACCAGTCAAACAACAGACACTCATAGCCCAACATTATATTGATTTCAGATTTATTCTCTGAAACTGGCAAAGTTAGAAGGAGTCAGCAGGGAGGGCTGTAACTTGACTTAAAGCAGACATACATGGGCCCTGATAGGGACCAGGTTGAACTCTCTTTTCTGTCTGTCACACACACACATACACACACTCAGCAGAATGAAACGATCCTAGTCATAGTTTAAGGGTCCCAACAGGTCAGCCGTCAAAGTGTGACATCTTTATTTCTGTGGAAAATCTGGCTGTAAATCCACGCTGCCTGCTATCATCTGTACCTGATCAGACTATACGGCCTGCACAAGGTTTATTACAGGGGAGGAAAAAAAAGAAAAAAAAATCCCTTTAAGAAACCTTTAAATCAGCCATTATTAAATGAACAGCATGGGTGTCAGGACTTGTTTGTGTCCCAGATGGCTTTGTTCTCCCTGCTTCACTCTTGACTTCCCCCTAGCCGTATGCTTCTTCTCCATTTTATTCTGATTAATGTGCCCTCCTCCCTCCTTCCCCTGCCCTCTTTCATTGCCGGCCTACCTTTTCTCTATCATCCCTGCCTCTCTCTTTCCCCATCACCCCATCCTTCCCTTCTTTTTCCCATGCCTCTTGCCTGTATTAATGTGAACCCTCCCCACATCTGCCGAGACACACATGTTTTTTTCAGGAATGACATGGGCTGAGTAGAGAGGGTGATGGAATCGGTCATTAAAAGAAACAAATCCATTACTCTCATTGGAAAAAAAATAAACTCTCCGTTAATAATGATGGAATTTGGCTGAATCAGTATATCTAATTAAATCAAAGCAGTTCTGAACCATGCGAGTGAATAACAAATCAAAACGTCCCCATGAGTCAATCAGACGGAAAAAAAAGTTCTATTTGGCACAACAACCAGCTTAAAGTAAATGAGCCAAGACAGAAGGTATGCTTGAATTACATTATGGTTGTAAAGATAAAAAAAAAAAAAAAATTCCAGTTTGTGATCATTATGAAGCATACATATGTAAGTTTAACATTTTTTGCTTCTGAATTTACCCTGAAAAGACTTTCTAATATAAGTTTTTCACTATGAAACAGGCTTTTCTGCCACTGTAGGCAAAGAGATTTAACTGTTGCAACACTTTCTGCAATTACAGTAAAAATAACAGATACAGTTAAACACCCTCCACCCACAAGCCCCATCCCTAAAAGGCTGTGATGGATCGCTCCGTTTACCAGCGGACAGTTTTTATAGTCATAGACGGGAACACACACACCCGGTGCTCCCTCCTGTCCTCCGCCCTCTTCCCTTCCCTCTTTCTCCCTATTCTCAACATTGGCAGCAAAGATAAAGGCCCCCAAGCCCCATTTGTTCTGTGAACACAAGAGTGTGTGTATGTGTGTGTGTTTGTCGTGCAATGTGTTGGATGTGTTTGTGTATGGACGGTGAGAGAACAGTACATGCATGTGTGTGTGTGCCTGCAAATATAAAGCCTGTGGATCAGCCAAAAGCAGCAGCAAGGTAAATGGGGTGTGAAAGTCTCAGGATTATTAAGAATTAACAGGAGCAGCTTAATAAATCACCCTACAGCAGTGTGTGTGTGTGTGTAGGTGTGTCTTAGAGCATATCAAATGGACCTCCTAAAACTATGCCCTGCACTTATGCTGCTTCAGCTCACGCACATGTGTTCAGGGTATCCCTCCAAAAGTCATGTACAAACACACACACACAAATTCATAGCACTGAATATTGGGCTTTCCCTATTAGTCTAAAAGCAACAAATTAAACCACAGTCTTGTGTTATTGCAACATTTCTCACTGGATGGACATTAATAGGAAGAGTGGTGTAAGATGTATTAGACAAACAGTCTCAATGATGACGGATAACACAAAAAAAACGCTCTTCACTTTCAGGATGTGCTGTGTTCAAGGCTGAATAACAAGGTGGCAAGAACAAAGCTGAATTTGTGAGTGAATGTGTTTTCTTTATAAAAGTTTTGACAGAATTTCCTTATGTCCAAATGTCAAAATTCAAACAATTAGCTGTTTTTTTGCTATTAGCAACCTTTTCACTGAATTATATATCATTATATTAGACTCAGAAGAATTCTTACAGAAAAAGTATATGGTAACAAGAATGGTTGCAAGAAATCTCACCATGAAATGTATAAATGACAATTTTGAAACATTATTCCCTGGGAAGTCAGTGGTGACTCAAATTATGAATCATTCGTTTTGTTTGAAATATATCATTTTCAGTTAATGAGGGGATTTTTTGGCAGTTGTTTGACGTGACAAGTTCTGCAAAAACTGTAATTGCAGAGAGAGAAAACAGAAAAAGAAGGACCAATAGGGTGTGGAGGATTAATTAACACCATATTGTTTGAATGTCCTGTCTGTTCCTGCTGTCTGCACATTACATTTTGTTTCCTTATTTGGCGTTACTGTTTTTGATTAGAAGAAGTCATGCTACTAAGTCACCAAATTCAAATGACTGAAATGTAAGAGGCAGGAAGCAATTAAGGCATTGAGATCACACAAAAAAGCAGAGATGAAGAAAAGAAGAAAAACACAAAATAAAAGAGGAACCAAAAATTGAGGACAAAATAGTAAGGGAAGGTCTCCGTGTATTTTATTCTACTCTTTAGAATAAACCATACTGGCAGAACTACTTAACAAGCCTGGTGCCGCAGGGAGAGATAGAGGCCAGGCCCGTTTCTCAGCGACAAAGTTCAGACTCATTATTTCCCTTTTTCTGCAGTCATTCCTTTTTAAAGAGGCCTTCTGTGTGCTAATGATAGTCTTATAAAGAGGCCCAGAGGGGAGCAAGTCAGAGATATGGATTTATGGATTTATGCCCGCTTTGGACACAGGCTTTGATCAGAGCACATTGATCTGCAGAGATTTACACCATGGCAACTCAATAAAACTCCTGCGCTCTTTCACAGAAGTGTTGGCCACTTAAGAGCCATTTGTCAAAGACAATTGCAAATCCGGAATCGGTAAAAAGACTCTCTGGTGAGGCCGGATCTGTGATGGAATGTGAATGCAAATGATATTTCCTTTCTCTATTTTATTTAACTGTATTTTATTGTGTTCTGTTCTTCTTGATTTTTGTGCTTAAACTTTAAGAATTATTGCCAGCTGTTTCTCAAAATGTGTTCAAATTTATTTCCTTTGAAGTAGAAATCATCATTTATAAAAAAGAATATTCTAGTTTTAATAGAATAATATGAAATATATTGAAAGTGAGTCATGGATGCACTTACTGCGTGTTACCACCCCCTCCAGCCTGATGATGTTAGGGTGGTCAAACTGTCCCATGATTGACGCCTCAGCGAGGAAGTCCCGCCTCTGTTTGTCCGTGTATCCTCCTTTAAGAGTCTTGATGGCCACACAGATCTCCTTCTTGCTGGGCAGCTTCAGGCGACCACTGCACACCTCGCCAAACTCACCTACAGATTAAATCATAGAGGATGCAACAAAACAAAATGAATGTTTTTTTAAATCTCAAATATATGCTGCACATGTCCAGATTTCAGTTCTCTAACTACTAACGCAGTGATTTATATTTAATGCTATGCGTTTGGATTGTCTTATGATCATAGAAATAAATGTATCTGCATATATTTCTATGAAATGTTTGTCCATTTGAAAATTCATGAGTAATTAATGGGTAGCTGTTGTGTGAAGCTAATACATATGCAGATTAATATTTTAATTCCTTATAGAACTCATCTTATCTTATAGTCTTTAATTAATTATTTATAGTTTAACTAGGAAATAACTCAATTTGTAGAAAAGCTAATGCTTTTAACTGCAAGGAAAATTCTAGTGTTTTTGTAACCTGGGTCTTATGCTCTCATGCTAACTTTACACTCACGAAACTTTTGTTTCACATAAATCATGTCAAATGCATATTTGAGTCTGAAGAAAGTTAAGAAAGGAAAGTAGCCCCCCTGATTAACTATTGCAACTAACTGTACAAGGATCTCACTTCAGGGCAACTTATTAGGTATAACTAAACTAGCTGCGTAGTCCGGAAACCTATGAGTATATTTTCATACTGAGCCCACTTAAAACGTACAAAGAACAGCTGTGTTCATCTGTTTTTTAAAGGAAGCATGAAGTCACTCATGGATGGCTAGGTCAATTTTACCATTGAGAGCTTTGATAACAAGCTGAGCATGAGGCAAGTACTGTATGTGCAGTTCTTGTGCACTGAAATAAAATAGTGGTTCAACTGTTGTTTGAGGTGTCAGAATATAAGGATGAAGCTGCAGATCAAAGAGGATCTTGATAAAGATCTGTCATGACTTAACTCCCATTAATCAGGAAATGTATTTATTGATTTTGGAGAGAAATCACTGCATAATTATGTCCATGACCACTAACTACAGTGACGACAACACGTGTGGTAATATACTTTGAAATTGATCCACTCGAATCCTCGTTCCAGATACTTCACACTGAACAGACAGCAAAGTAACCTTACAACTCTCAACGCCGTATCAAAGCGCAGCGTGACTCAACATCCACTCTGGGAGAGATCAATTAGCATTCCTCGCTGGTGAGGGGATATGCGTGTTTAGATCAGCCCATATGTACCCATGACTGTGTGTGTGAATGCGTGTGGTTCAATAGTGACTGTAAGTTTCCATGTTGCAGCTGGTCACAGGCATTCGGCTGGACTGTAGAGGGTAAGTGCATGTCCTTGTGTATGTATCTCTGTGTGAGTGTTTTACTGCATGTGCATATATTGTGTTTGTCCATGGGCGGTGATGTCATAGCTAAGATATGTACAGATCCCTCTCAGTCCGGTACAATCATTCCCCATAGCAGCTCTGGATCAGACAGCATGGGTCAAACCTTGGACTTGAAAAACAGGGTCTGGGAGAACTTAATAATTACAACCTGTTTAAATATCAAATGCATGCCTGCAGCCTTTCCTGCTATGCTCTGTTCTTCTGGCCGTCAGCAGTGGACAGACGAGCCAGGCCGAGGCACCTTTTTATGTGGTCACTCCAAGAAAGAAAATCTCGGTCTAATAAGGCTTGATTAGGGACACTCACTTCTTTCCTGCTCCGAGTGGAGCTAGGTAACCCACTTTGATGTGAAAGTCTGACCCATGTAAGCAGAGTGGAGTATGTGTTCTGTCTTTTAACACACAATCACCGATTGGCAAGAAGATCAAAGTCTTGTTAACATGTTTAATGAAGACAGATGGGGATTGAGGCAGGGATGGAGAAAGAAGAGGTATGTTGTGTATTGTTGTGAGTGCTTACATAGTTTCATAAAAATCACACAGATGGGTGGTACGTTGCATTCAAGCTGATGGACAGAAATGTTTACATCGTAGCTTAAGCTTTAATGTTGACCTTTTGTGTTCACTTTGCATTTACTTGTTTTGCAATAGATTTAGAGTAGAGAGCTGAAGTCCCACTCCCTTTCCAAGCTAACCCTTTTACCACTAGCATTTATAACTCAATGGGTTTCTAAAAGCATCAGAATGTTCCAATATACTGTACATATTCTAAGATAAATTGGTGTTTCCACGTGCTGGTTACTAAAATGTTGGTATTTTAATCAAGGTATAACTACTATTTTCGTAGCACTCACATGTAACAACAACACAGTATATCCCAAAAGTGTGCAATTAATGTCAAAGCCTCACGGGAACTAAGGTTGCTGAAAGGTAACAAAAAAATCATCTTTTTGAAATGAAAAGGTATAAATGAACAAATGTGTGAATCTTAAACTAAGTGCAGCCGTGGATAAACTAAAGAGAGTTTGCCCCAAGTGGCCAAGTTTGTTGTGGCGTGAATGCAAGGCAATTATTTGTTAATAAGGAAGATATAATTTTTACCTCCTGAACATGAGTTCACAATTACTTTCCAGCATAGATAAAAATAGACATATTACACAATGTGATGTTGAACTTCATGTAAGTATGGACTAAAATAAATATCCTTTGTCTCAGCTATGCAATGTGCGCATTAAAAATGTATATTATACTGTAGTATAGCCTACTCCAGTGTGAACTCAACTATGTGTGTGTAAGGGTACTGGGGTTCAACTCATAGGTTTTAGAAGGGTGATACATGATGGTGGTATTAATTATATATTTGTAATACAATATTTTATATAGTTGCAATATTGCATTAAACTCGTAAGAAGGGATTCCCATAGAGAACCTATGCAATATTGATAGATTCTACACTGAGTAAAAAGTGAACACAAATACTTATATGATAGTGGATAACACTGACTTGTCTGTATCTGATTTCTAATAAAAAAGACCAATATCTACCGATGTATCGTTGTAGTCCTATAGAGATTAATATGATTTGTCTCTGCTATGTACTATGAAAAATGGAGTGTAGCGTCGTCCAGTGTGGAGTCAGGTATTAGACTCTCAGGCCGTCCTGACAGCTTTACAGTGTGGAGGGCTGGTGGGACTCTGGAGACCGGCCTGCCGTTATGTGCTGTGTGCTTTAGTCTCCATCTATCCTGCCTGCACTCGACATGAATCACAATGCATTACCCTCCCGTCTGCACTCCTGCTCAAGTTATCAGGGAGAACATGAGGAGAGCAGAGGAAGCTTGTTTTACTGTTGTGATCATTAGACGTAATTCAGAATTAGAGCAATTGCCTATGGGGAATGTAAAGAAAGAAGGGTATTAAGAGAAAAGGATGAAAGAAGGAAAGAGCAAAGGTAGAAATGAAACTCCATTATAGAGGAGGGCTGGAAAGAGGGGACTTTAAGCTCGGGCATTAAATTCTTCTCATTCCCAGCTGTGCAGTATATGGCACAAAGTTAAACTAGCCTGCTGCATGAAGAATGCAGATATATAGGAGCTCTACAAGCATTTTTTCAGTGTGTGGCATGCACTTGGTGCGTCTTTGTCATTTAAACAGAGCGCGAAAGAGTAAGAAAGTAAGGTACTATGAGGTGAGAGAGGGAAAGAAAAGGTCAGGGAGAGGAAGAAACCATTTATTTATCTTAATCTAGTTTCTATTTTTACACTTATTTAAAATCTGGAATAACTCTTCAGTGCCTGTTTTCTGCACTGATAAACTTTTCCTTTGATAACCTAGGCAAACTGGTGATCCGATCTTGATTTATTATAATTTATGTTCCTACTTTATTCAGTGAGGCAATAATTAATTGCTTCAGAAAATTCAGTTCAAGACAATTGGGTTCACTAAATGTACTAGTGAAGCTATCTACCAAAGTTTTCAACATTTAACCATAACTTGTCATTTTGCAATATAGCTTTAGCCATAATAACATTTTACTTGTCTAAAATAACTTGTCTAGTGTCTGTGTATGCAGAAATGTCTGGTCAAGTGTATTCCTTCATTCTCACCTGCTCCCACCACTTTATCGATGGCAATGCAGGAGGCGTCCAGCTCCTTGGCAAACTCGTGCACAGCCTGGCTCGGGTCCTCGTAGGTGTGTGGGTCTACGTAGGTCCTGATACCCGGCAGACGCACTGCAGCAGCAGAGAGCAGGTTGCATCAGTTAATGACCATTTAAAAACTGTGTGTCCTCTGAACATTTTTAATAACTTTAAACTTTGTAACGACATGTCACCTCGCAAGTGCTCAGCTTTACAATGAAAAACAGGAATCGAAACATACTGGTGATAAGTGATAATGCGTCTACGCTGAACACTGCACAACAAAACCAAAACATTAGAGATAATGTAATCTTTATTGTCTCATTCACTGAGTTTTCATAAAGAATTTCCTTCAAGAAACAGGTTAAGGCCAGTTAATACATCAATCATGTGTCAGAATAACAGCGGCCTGCAGATGCTGATAAGTTGAACAATTTGGCATATTTTCAAGTAAAATCTTTATTTTGTTTTTATGTGCTTCAGTAAATCTCAATCAGGAAATTCATAAAGGCATCAATGTGTGGCTGATTTGTGATATAAACAACACACAAAAGAATTAACAAAGAATGACTCAACACTTTTGTGAGATACTCCGATAAACTAAATCTAAACAAATAAGCATGAAGACAGTTGACTTAAGCGTAGGTTCTTAAAATGTGTTTTTCCCCGGACAGTGTTTCCTTGCTTGGCATTAGTGGAGGGATAGTAACACAAAGAGGGAATTTGTACTAAAAAGACTAACTTTGTAATATACCAACTTTGTCTAAGTCAGAGAGCAAAAGTCTCACATTAGCTTTGGCTAAACTCAAGAATGCCCATTTGCTCAGAAAGAAGATTGTAGACTTCATGGCCAGTATGTGCAGGAGGAATAATCACAGCAGCTAAAAACTGTCTCAATATACTATATAGGCATTTGAGTATTGTTTCAAGAAAGAGTTGGAGAAAAAAGGGAACCTATCCTTTAAGTAATAAAGCTTTATTTTATTAGTCCCTGTGGGTAAATTTATGCTCTGCATCTGACCCATCCTCACTATTCATGAAGCAGTGGACAGCTTCAGTTCAGTGCCTGGGGAGTTTGGAGGCCAAAAACTGGGTCAGGGTTAAAGGTAGGAGTATTCCTAATAAATAAGATGTCGTGTATGAGTAAAGGAGAACAAGCAACAAAGAGGAAGCTCAGGGAATATAAAGAAAAAAAAGCCCTGTGAGTGAGACTTTTTTGTCACTGGTCATAAATGTATCAATGGAAAGGACTATAATTAGACATTATTTAAACCTTAATTCTCAGCGTTGGCTGGAACTGGCTGGGAGTACAGTCCAATCTTGTTCCCTTTCCAAATGAAGCCTCCAGGATTGGTTTGCAAATGGACCGAGAAACCTCCTTCTCAACATGGTCTCGGTCCGATTACTGTCTTCTCATATGACCAAACGAACCGAGGTAAAGGGGAAACCACTTCAATCTTGGAAATAGCTACTCTCAAACAACCACTGTCCGTAAAGATGCGTGAAAATGCTGAGAAAAACATCTCTGTAACTATCAGACTACCTATAATGCAGCTACCTAGTCATATTTCTACTCAGTGAACAGTAAAGTGCAGATAGGATAGATCGAATCCAGTACTTACAGTGGCCGTTGCCAAAATGCAGTCTTTTCTCATCAGGATGTTTGGATTTGCTGTGGCAACAAAACCTGCCAATCCAAACAGAGAAAGGTCATAAGTAGTGCCACATCTCCCAATAAGACTTCACCCATTGGCCCAGCCTGGAGGCTAGCGAGTGCTGTGTGTGTGTGTGCGCGTGTGTGTGTATGTGTAATCCCAGTTCTTATAAGCCAAGAGAGGATCAGTAAGTCTTATAATGAGCCATGGATTTATACTGTCTCTGAACAGTACTGGCTGCCAACTTGAGCCACACACACGCAGGCACACACACACACACACAACACACACACACACACACATAATTCTTAGCTTTCTCCTATACACCCATGTACACCTAAATACAGCTGTTACAGTATCTTTTACAGGAATTACAGGGGAGGAATAGAGGGAAACATATTTGGTGAAAATTCATAGTATGTAGTGTTGGCAGGTAAATGGTCATTTTGAAAAAAAAACCTTCAGTTACCCCTGAAGGGAGAGAGTAAAAGGCTTGCTGTGATTGGAGGAGAAAATATTCAGCGATAATCAAGTCAAGTGACTGGACAGACCTGCCAATCAGGACGTAGAGCAGCACAGTGAGTAGGATGATGGCCACGGCGGAGGAAATGGCGATCAGAACAACCTGGCTGCTCTCACTGGAGATAGAGAAGGCTGCTGAAAGGAAGACAGCAACAGGTAAAGAGCAGCGTGAATCCTTTTTCGTAACACACAAATTCAAATACACACATAGACACACAAGTGCTACTTCACCATCTACAGTATATTATCAATTTAAAGTATTCCTTTGATTTAATACAATATATTTATTTATAAGAGGATATAAAAGTTGTTAAAGTGTCTTTCAGGACACTTGGCATTAAAGTTTCCACAGCCCTTATCTCACTCTGTACTATGACAACAAAAAAATAAAACAAAAACGGACACAGCTAAACAGTATTAAGACAACTACTCTAATTTGAAGATGTCCTTAATAGCATTCAAGTAAAACATGAACATCAGCAGTTTGTTAAATGTTTGTCCTTTGCAACAAAGTTCACATGATATTGATTTTTAAGACCAACAATGTTGCAACAAAAATTCAGCTGGTTGAAGCTACTACAGCTGACCTGTGCCAGTAAATCCCCATATATTTAAATTTGGTTTAAGTTTCATGGAAGAATGTTTCCCCAGAATGCAAGTCTATTGTATAGAAAAGCTTCTGAAGCAAAGACCCAGGACAAAAACATAACATGCATACTTGTGTGGTTTCCATAAAGAATGGCTCCAGAATTTCACTATTTATTATGAGTTATTTTTTGTGACAGGCCAGTATTGGTCCTGGCCCCATATTAATCAGCAATCCCAACATAGACTAACCATATTTCAAGTACAGTAATAAAAGAATTACTTTAAAACTTCTATTCTGTGCTGAACTTACAGTCGGGGCTTGTCTCAAACTGGAAACTGGGGCTGCTGGCTCCATATCCAGCAGCAGTGCGAGCTCTGATCTGCAACAGGTAGGCAGTGTTGGGCTTCAGACCATTCAGAGTCACGTTACAACCCCGGGCACGAAGGATGGTGTAGCTGGTCTCCTGCTCCTCCTGTAAGACAAGGCGGTCAAAGGAAGAGAGATAGGAATTCAATAATTGTAAGACAAGTAGTTTTTCTTTCTTTTTATCTTTAGTTATACTAGACTATTTAGTCTGGATTGGAGTGGAGTGGGTTAGGGTTAGGGATGAATACAGTATACAGTATGTACAATATAACACAGGATGCATTATGTGAACGTACATTTTCACACACTTGCACACACCCACCGACAGACACACAAACATCCCAGACAGTTTGGCAGTTTTCTTCCCAATCTGATGAATTATGCCTTTTAAATTTTATGACTTCTCTCCTACTGATCTCCACTGATACAACAACAGGAGGATTTACACACCAAGTCTACATTCAGCACATTGTTTCCAGATGTGGACGATGAAAAAAAAAACTGTGGAGAAAAGATTGGAGGGCAGGAGGGAGAAGAGGTAGAGGAGAAAAGATAGAAAGTAATCCCTTGATTTTGGCTCTGTGCAGTGACATTTCCACAGTTTGGATAAGAGGAGGACCCAGTACAATTAGTGTTGTTGGAATGAAGCAGAATGTGTGTCCCATTTAGTTACACCCCATTTACTACAGTGCGTCAAACATTTTATAACGCATAAATAATGCAAAACATGCATAAACTATGCTATATGTAATTCTATTTATCACATAGCTTTGTGTTTGTTTTGTTTTATGTGTGTGTGAGATTACTAATAAAGAATGATATGAGAGTGATCGGCAGCTTTACAAGCAGCCCGTCAGTATCAGGGGACAGAAGGCACAGCACAGTGCAACATAATTCGGCACCAGTGTGAAAAAACTTCAGTTAAAGAAGCCAAATGATTGCTTAAACCAAAAATACAGTTTACACCAAATGTTGTGTTTCACTGTCTGTGCCTCATTGCATGTCTGCAGTTGTCCAAAGTCAAAAATGCTGAGTCTATCCATGCTCAGGACAGGCTTGCAATCACATTAATATTGACCCAGTTCGATTTTATGCCACAAACTGTTAAATAGGGGGAAAATAGGACGAGGACGATATTAAATCTTAATGACAACCTATTAGGGATGACTTCAACAATCCCGAAAATGAGCTACATGTTTTGCAACGTAGCCAATCTCATAAAAATCATTCAAGGCCGAACCATGTTCAGGCATATTCAAATCCTCATTTTATAGACCCATTTATAAAGAGGCACTCATTGGTACAGGCAACGGCATAAACACTCATAGACATTCAAACACACACACAAGCAGCGTCTAAAAGAAACTTCACGCCCATTAATGGAGTGGATCAGACTTTTATAGTGCACAAAGCTTTTTAAACTGCTATATGTGTGAGGAAGTAACTGATACACCAGACCTGCACTGGGACAACTCTTCATCACAACTATAAATCTACTCGCAGCCTGTCACTGTTCCGCGTTCAAGACAGCATGTGATCCCCTGAAAATCACACACAGGTGTGGCACAAGCACCTTTGTGTGTGTGTGTGAGAGAGAGATACAGAGGGACAGAGAAAGAAACTCAGGTCAGACACCTCTCTTTTATGCACACTGCAGCCCGATAAGCTGTGTGAGTTGACCACTTGCGTGTGTCCGTGTATGTGTGTGTGCCTCACCAGAACACTGCTAGAATTTAATATGGCCTCTGTGCTGCGTTCTGCTTTGACAATCTAAACAAAGCTGTAGAAAATTATAGCTTGTACAACACACACACACACACACACACACAGATGCAAACTCATACAGACTCAAAAACAGGAGATGTTCAGTACAAGTCTTGTAAATACAGTGTTTCAGCCAGCATTCCTTCCATCTAAGACTAAATAAACAGCCCAAATTAAAGTGGATTTTAAGCTCTTTCTCTGCTCTTTAGATTACAGTGATAAAACATGCAAAAATAATCAGCAAAGTGTATTCCCACAAATTCTATTTTCACAAAGTGCATTTGGAAATGCCTTATCGGCTGTAGAGCGCCCTTTAACCGGTTACAGCGACAGGAAGATCATATAGTTAGCCTGGGATTTCCAAAGATGAAACACCTCTTTTCTTCTGGGAAGCATTCTGGTTGGGAATTCCCAAGAAAATCACCAAACATTCCCTAAGAATTCCCATATATAGGATACATAGTACGGGAACAGCCCTTGCCCTTCTAAACTTGGGCCTCTGGTTTCATGACCGTGTGACACAGTGGTATGTGTTGGGGTAAAGAGCAGCATAGGCAAAAACAGCGGCAAAGGACTGGCTAGATGGGGTTAATTCGAAATTATGAGCTGCAAGGATTTGCTCGGTATGAGCCATGTCAGCTATTAATACCATGAACCTCTTCACTCAGCAACATAACTTTATTAGAGATCCATCAGCCTTCTGACAAACAAATCATGAAAACTGCATGAAAAATGTAGCATGGGGGGAGGTAGTGCTTAATCATTAAAACATTTGACTAAAGATTCTAAGTACTAGATCGTATTATTTCAAGCCCTGGAAAACATACCAAGAGACACTTAGAACATATCTGGAATTAATTTGCAGTGAACTTAACACACTTCTAATTCTTTTACTATGTCTAACATCGTAACTTATTACTAAGTTTATGATACTGTCCTCACCTAGTATCAGTATAATATAGGGACTGTCAGTGCATCAGTTCCAACCACATGTTTTTTTCCCTTTTCAGTTCCCTTTAAACTAGGAATGGAAATGTGATTGTTCATGTTGCTCCCAAAGTAGTATTTATTTCATGTAACTTTGGTTAAACTCCTGTGGTAAATTAACCAACTCCCTACTTTTAATGGAAACTTTAAAATGTTTCACAAAGTGTAAAACTCTCTGTAGATTGTGTCACTCATACAATGTAATTTTTACAATTTTGGAAAGATGCCACACACACTGAAGGTTATTTATGCTACTGACCTGCTAATGCCTCACTTAGAGTTATCATGGAGCCTCCAAAGACTCAGCATAATTTATGAGTTAGCATGCTAAAGTGAAATACTGTGTGCACATGGAAGATTATAAAGTTCATGTTTTCATCAGTTGGCAGGAAATGCATAACTTCAAGCAAGAGAAGTCCAATCAGCACTTTGGATATAAAGAGGTATGAGACTAAATGACTTGTGACGATTAATATTTGTGTTCTGCCTCGTATTATAGAGCCCAAAGCTATACAAATTAAATATATCAACTTTTAAAATGGCCCTACTTGTCCCGCTTCTTACACAAAACAGTCTTGTTTGATTTTTCAACCCCCAAATGAAAACATAGCTGTTATTGTATGACTTTCCTTGTCGGCTGTTGGTTTGACCCTAAAACGGATCTATTGGTCGGTTGGGTAATTAATCTACTATACAGGAGTATTTTGCTTTGAGTGATGTTTTGCGGTTGTTGGCGAAATGTTCACTTTTCTACATTAAGAGAAGCTAGAGTCATCTGTAAATTGCTATCAGATTACACGATAATGTACACAGTGTATTTCTGTTTTAAACTTGTGTAAATACAGACAGAGAAAAAGCAAACAAACACATAAAAGCAGAAACTCTGGCTGATTCTGCAAATCTGAACATCTTGCTAAAAGTTCTCTCTTAATCTCTGTCCGTCTGTTTCTGTTCTGTGTTTCACCATCCTGTTTATGTGTATATGCAATTATGTCTGCGTGTGTCTTTGTCTCTAAAAGCCTCTTTCTGTCTCATAAGTGAGTCATGGTGTGGTCTTGGTGTGGGGAATTCGTGCTCCAGCTCTTGTCCTCCTATGGCCTTGATCCTTGGCATGCTAGAGGCCATCAGCGTCCCTCTGCCTGCCACATGAAGAGGCCTCTATCCTGGGTTGTTATAGGGGTCTCCTACGGTTGTCCCTGTTCGCTCTTCTGCATGGAAGGGCCTTTTGTCTGGGGTTTGAAATCCCTGGGTATGTATGGCTGCTGTGGAGAATCCTCTGGGAACTTGGTTTGTGCGTAGGTGTGTGTGTTTATGTGTCTGTCCCTGAGTGTCTCCAGTAATTCCTGAGAGACAATGTGATTAACAAGGATCAGTGCAAAGCCCCAGAGATTTTTCAATATAAAAGTCTGTCACACAGACTCTTCCTTAAGCTCCACCTTCTCACTCTTGTCCCTATCCTCTTTTAATGAATATGCATTTGTGCTGTGTGCGACTGAAAAACCACAACTAGGAATTAGACCTGCAGTGAGCTCTGACCCAGTATCAGTCTTTAACTTACCCTCTCGCTGTTTTCCAGCCTTGTTCTAACATCTTAGGTAAGGATGGCTGAGCAAGGAACAGAGTTTAGCGGGGAAACAGCTTCTGTCGGCCTACTAATCAAGAGATTAGGGGCCACTGTTGGCATTCAAGCAAACTGTGATCTGGGACACACACATACACACACATACACACTGAATCTGCCAGAGTGATTAAACTTGCATCCACGGCTAATTTCACCATCAAATGTCAGCCATAGAAACAGCATTGGTGCTGAAAGCCAGTGTAATTCGTTCTGCACTAATTTCCCTCACAGAGGAATGAGCGACCCCACAGACGCATTTACTGTCTGCCATAAAACTTGTCTCCATTAAGGAGAGGAGGGGAGAGGAGGGGAGAGGAGGACAGGATGTGAAATAGAGGGAAAGATAAAAAGTGGAGATGAGAGGAGTAAGTGAGGGATGAGAGGAGTGAGGAACAGAAGAACGAAGACAAAGAGACAAACAAGAAAAAGGGGAGAAGAGAGGATTGAGGAAGTAGAGGAGGAAGGTAGGATAGTGGAAAAAGGAAATGAGACAAGGAGAATGCAAGCTAAGAAAACACAAATTTTTTGCTTGTTATAGTAAGAGATACTAGACATCGGTTTCATGCTGTTTTTGCAGCCTGTTTATCACTTTTGTGTCACTAAAGCTCTTTGAAATAATAATAATAATCATTCATTAGTTATACCTACTTATTAAAGCCCAACTAATATATCAATTACCGATGTTATTGGCTGTTTTTATTATTGGTCATTTCCTGTATCTAATGAAGAATTAGAGTAACAGAGAAGCGCAACTCTCAACAGTGTCTAGAATTGGCAGAATGGACAATGCATATGTTAAAAAATATTTCATTTCAGTATTAAAAAAAATAAAAATAAAGTTATTTGTTTAAGAAAGTAGTCATATTGGTGCAATATTGGTGCACAATTCACATAGAAAAAGTCTATTTATATATTGGCAGTCATATTGTTATCATTCATTGTAATCAATTAATTTTCCCTATATCTCACTATAATGTGTGTAGCAACCATGACTAGAATATTTCAAATTGAAGATGAAACTAAGATGTATTTATGGCAAACTTCACCATACTGTTAAGCCATAGTGAGAGCAAGCCACAACATAGCACATAAAAGCAAGAAAAAAAAACGGAAAAACCTCAAATATTTTAACCCCCCAAAAATCAAAACCAGTTTACATGACCCATCTGTTATGTTTTGTATTATGACTTTTGGCTCCAAACATATAGCACATAGAAAACAAAAACAATCCAGCAAACAGGGGCCTTAAGACGACAACTTGTCATTTTGGAAATTTGCTAATTAGCTTTTCTTGCCAGGTGTAAGATGAAAATATTTATACGATTCTCATATTTATCTAGTAAATACTGTATAATAGTGCAAAGACTGTAAAAAGGATAAAGATCCCACAAACAGCGCTGGGCTGCGAAGCCATTTTGGCATAGTGACCACAACTTTTGCACCATTGTGTCACGCACACTGGTCCGAAAGTATTTTTCCCATTCTTTTCACATCACCACAAAGTAACAATTTTATGGTCAACAGGTGTCTAGCAAAAATTATTTTATCCCATTCATGTGTGCGGGAAGCCAGCAGGAAGTTGGCCGACTCGAATGTGTCTGCCCTCAACCGTCACGCCTGGAGAAGGCCTCTAGTACACAGGCTCTATTGGTGTTGGTGTCAGAATATGCGCCCAGTGAGCAACTTTCATGAATGGTTTAAACCTGGTTCTCCTTAGTACATCCAGGGATAGAACAGCTAGCCTGGCTCTGTCCAAAGGCAACAAGCAACTCTAAAGCTCACTATATGCCATTATATGCTGGCTGCAGTCTTATATTAACCTGACAGATAGGATTATGGTATCAATTTCCTCATCAAACACTCAACAAGAAAGCAAAAAAACGTATTTACTAAAATGAACTATGTCTTTAAGAAGTGCAGTTTATGATACTGCCTTGGTCAAAGGCACACAAGGTGAAGCATCAACAGTGACAGATCCTGCACCAACCTTTTCGTAGTATTTGATCTCATAGTCGAGAATAATGCCGTTGGGTCTTTCTGGCTGCTGCCAGGACAGGGAGACACTGTTTCGAGACGTCTTCTCCTTTCTGATTACTGTAACCGGCGAGGGAGCTGGATGGGAGACAGACACAGAGTGAAAGAGATTGAGTGAGTTCCTTTATGGTGAGGTTCAGTGGAAGTTCAGTCCCCGGTGTTGCATCCTGGCAATTGTCTATGGTTCCTGTTAGCCTAATTCAGTTTGCTGCCCAGTGGGGCTGCAGTAAAGGCTGTGCATTGGTAGGCAGGAACGAGACGATGTACACTTATGCAGACTTGAATAATCACACAAACAGGTTCTAACACATGTAGTACCTAACGTCATTTCACCTCTGTGCGAATTCATCCAAACAAAACCTTATCCATTTTACCATGAAATTGCATGAATCAATATATTACAGTTTTATAGTGTTTTCATACCAGTAGTGGCAGCATAACTGCATGTCAATGGTAGTTGTATTATCATCTTGACACTCTCTTTCTTCAGTATATACCCACATCCCTGTCTCGTGACAAGCCTACAGTATACAGACTAAACCTAACCTTGTGAAAAACAGATCTTTGATCAAAATCTTTGAAATGTACGATTCTAAAAAGGGTGTTTGCTTAGCTTTTCCTAAGAAAGCCTCTTGAAAGGAAAGATAATGATGCCAGAATAAATACAGGAAAATAGAGTAGTAACTAGAAACAGCAGACACATAAAAGACTGCCAGCTCGAAAATCGAGAAGTAATCTCTGGGTGGAATCACTGGCTAATTTCATCCAAATAAAGAAAAACAAGGTTATGCTTGCTTACCATGTTAACTATCTCTGGAGCTGGTAAGAATACTTAAGACTTTTATTGTAGTGTCTATTGTTGCTTGTTGTTTTCGGCATTTCCCAGAAAAGTGCTGTGTTTTAAATTTGAAACCCTATAAACCTTTCCCTTTCTCTCACTGCTGTCCCCATCCCTTTCGGTGTGGTGATTTCTCCCTCGCCAATCTTCCTCACCAATCCTTCACCCATGCATCGCCTTGCCTCAGGGAGTTCACATGGTCCCAATCTAGTAATTCAGCACATCCCTCCCTCTATCAAGCCCTGCACCCCCTCCCTCGTTCTGTCTCTCTCTTCACTCCCTTTCTCATTTCCCTTTTTTACTGCTCTCTAATTGCCAGGCAGCTCCGGGGCCAGCCCGGCATCTGAGGCATCGACTTTTAATTTTATTAGACCACAGGAAAAAACATGTTTGTCTTTGAAATGTTCGAGCCTTTCTTGATTGTGATTATATAGCTGCAGAGTGCGCCTGTGTGTGTATTCCGTGCATATACTCGTGTGTATTTCCGCGGGAAGTTATTTTTTCTCCTGTAATGAATCCAGATGGGGAGAATCTGTTTCTATACCCCCTGCTCCTCCTCTCCTCCTCTCCCTCTGGTTCTGATAGCGGGGTGAGGCTGTGCTTTTTATTGGCACTGTGGTTTATGGTGGTAATGATTTACTGTGTCTGGGCCGCTTGGAGGCAGCTTCAAGTTCCTCTCCTCTGCCTTTTCCTTCTCCTCGCTTCTCTCTCTCTCTCTATGTATGTCTATTGCCAAGCACTTAATTTGCTGTCACTCTCTGTTTCTGTCTCTGATATAAGTGTAAAAGTGATACAGCAAACCAGGCCCATAATGTCCTTAAAAACTGGCCTTCAGTGTCACTCACCTGTGATTTGAGGGACATAATGCAACACGTCTATTTATTTCGTACAGTAACAGAAGTGTACTATTGGAAGTGACAGCAGTTCATTGGCAGCAGTGGAATAAGTATGAAATTAATAAGTAAGTAAAAATTCCCATACAACAATGTAAAAGTACTTCACTACAAGTAAATATCCTGAATTTAAAATCTTACTTAAGAAATGTACAGAAGTATTATCAGCTAAATGTTCTTAAAGTATCAAAAGTAAAAGTATCCTTTCTGCAGAAAATTGTGTCTATGACTAGTATATTATTAGATATTTTATTATTAGATTGTCAGTACAGATGCATCAGTGCATAAGCAGCATTTTACTGTTGTAACGGTAAAGACTTTATACCATTATGTAGTTGCATCCAGTGGTTCCCAAGGGTCACCAGATAAATCGGAGGGGGTTGTGAGATGATTAATGGGAGAGGAAATAAGAAATAATGTTCTCCTTTCACAAATTTGTTTTTGGGGGACTTTTATTTCACAATAAGGACCAGTATTTTAGAGTTTTACCTCTTAGAGCCTCGGACATTTATTTGAATTAAACCATATAAGGAGTCTGGAAGGGAATTGTCTTATGACAACGTGTGGTCACAAGCCAAAAAGGTTAAAAATCACTGTATTAATCCATGACAATGTATTGTATTTTATGTTTAATTAAATTAAAAGAAATGAAATGTCAAAAATTAATTAGCTACTGATCATCACCACCTTCAGATCTTGTAGGTTTACAGTATTGATATGTTAACACATACTCAAATGAAATATTGATGAGAGTGCTTCAAAGTGGTCACCAATAACCACATCATCAATAAGCAGGTGAAAAAGGGATTTGTGTAGGCATGTGTGTATATTGTATGTGCGTGTGTTTTCTTCTGTCAAACCCATTCTGCCAAGTTCAGCTGTAGTTCAGACTGTTATTAGACTACTCTAAATGTGGATCACAGTTACTCTGCTGTTAGCATAGTTATGACAATGAGTGGAGGGCAAAAGAGGTGGAAGGAGGAGAGCTATCTGACAGCACCTTGACAGCGCAGCCAGGACCCACGGCTCCTTCCCAGGGAAACACTTAATCCGGCTTTTAACAGCTTTGGCATCTGTACGTGTGTGTTTATGTGAGAGAAAGTGTATAGACGGGTGGGGCTAGTGCACTGACATACCTAATCCTTGTAAACTCTCAGGGCTGATGGAGAGTGTGCAGCTGCAGGCTGAGATATTTGTTAGAGAGAGAGAGAGAGAGAGAGAGAGAGAGCTGTGTATGCATGGTTGGGATGGTGGGTGTGGTGTTAAGGTGTGTGTTCTTGTGCTCGCATGTGGGTGTGTGCTTGATCTATCATATGGAAAGACCAAAATCCATCTCTTCTGATGATCACTCAAACATTAAAGATGGCTTTCAATATTCAGAGCACACACAACCCTCTTAGTGTTGATAAGTCCTCTTCAAATCTAATATATATTCCAATCGCGGAGAGATTCCTCCTGACTAACCACACAGATTATAATGCTTACTATCAGAAGACTCCAAAGCTTTGCCAAACCGTTTTGTCTTTATCATTTGGACTATACTTAAAGTGTGTAGCTTTTCATCCCCACTGCCCTTTCTCCTCATAACAACACATTACTGGAGTCTTGACTTCGACCCAGACAAATACAGACAGATTTGAACAAACACACACACAAAATCTATATTTACTTCTCATCCCTGTCTTGTCACTTTAAAGAGGTCATGTCTGGACGTTGTCACTCATAATATAGCCAAGCTGTGACAACACAGAGCAGAGCATACACAGTAGACATCCGTCTGTATACGTATTGTGTCTACGCACATCTTTCAGCATTTGCATATTTATCACACTGACAAGTTTCTTGTTTAGAGAGTTTATGATTGTTGTATGATTGAGTGTATTTATTCTAAACTGTGTGTGTATGTGTGTTTAACCTAGAATCTTGAAACTTCCCCTTGTACGATCTCTTTAATATTGTTTTCAATATTTAATATCGTAAGTTAATACTCTTCATTAGATGATTTTTCCAGTGGTCAATCTACACTGTGACTACACTATCCTGCCTAAATGATGCTACCTAAAAATAGCAAATGCACCCTTTAAAGTATCCTGTAAAAAAAAATCAACTCATATGTCCTTAAAACAAAGCAGGTACAAAGTGAAGCCACACCTGAATTTAAACCAAAAATGCATAAGAAATGCTTCACAATATACCTGCTCTGACCACTTTGTTTAAATTCACAGCTCTTGCCATATGCCTATCATCATCTATATGATGGATTGTGTAAGTCTGACCTTGCTGTATGACAACTTATGAGAGAAATGTCCATCTGTTCACTCTGCCTAAAAACCACAAACCAAGTCTGGAACAAAATAGACCTACAGAGAAATGGGGAAACACATAAAGAAGAAGAAGAGTATAGCTATGGGTTGGGGCCTAAAGGTGACAGGTAGAAATAAAGGATCTTGTGTCCGGTTAAAGAGAGAAAGGCAAAAGAAGACCAAAGACATGATTGAGAGGAAAACAGACGAAAACTTGAGACACAAAAACATGAACAAATACAAAGGCAAACTGTGTAGGAGAAAGTGAAGGGAGCGGGAAAAGAAAAAAAATGAATTGATGTACAGCGAGACTTTTGCACATTCCTTGCTAGAGTCAGGGATTTCTGAGGTTTGGCGCTTTCTACTGCAGCTAGATTTATTTTACTCAAAAAATTCAAAGTACCATTTCCCTTTGCCTTCTTATTCTTCTAAAGACTGGATGTGTGGAGAGGTATTTGTATAAAAGATTGATGGAAATTTTAGGAGCCCATCTTCGCGTTAAGAGTGTCCATTAAAAGGTTGAGATATTTTTTTGTGAAGGAGGAAGACATTCGAAACTGGTCGTTAAACAAGAGAATAGTGGCCAGGGATCGCCTTGTAAATGTCCAGAGCTGATGGTTGGAGTGCATATGTTTGGAGCACATAAACTATAGGCTAGTGTATTATATGATAAGGGAGAGGGAGAAAGAGGGAGCAGTTTAGCGAGAAGTACTTGCATATTATCCATGTGTTAGGTAGCTACTATTTTGAAGTCACACACTTGTGGTATTCTGCACATTATGATTTAAAATACATGTTTCTTCCTGCATTAGTACCATACGTCCATACACATACACATGAGCTCTTGTGGTCTTGTACTTCACAGTCTTAGGACCAACTAAAATCCGAGCCAGCCTAAACCTTCCAGTTTTTTTGGAAAATTCTTCTTGAAAAACATTTCAGTCAGTTAACCTGGGAGAGTGATTTAGATGGGATATTGTGACTCATCATGCCTTGAAAACTCTTGAATTGTTATTTGCTATGTACCTTACTTAAAATGACTTATTTCCCTTAGTGTTGACTTTTGATATACCATAATAAGCTAAGCAAAATGTGTGGGCTAGCTCTATTTTCTATCAATTTATGTTCTAATAATTTTGTCCTGCCTTAAGATATTGAGTTCCATCTTGCTTCAGCATATAGTTTAAATAAGACAGTTATTCAATAGTGTCTGAATGATCTTGGCCACCATAGTTAGTTAGTTAGATGTTAGGCAGCTGGGCTTGCTGACTGGTCTTGATCTTAATTAATGATCTTAAGATGATCATATACTTACAGTACTTACTTTCCAGGCAATTTCATTACTATTTACACAATTATTTATGAGTGACATAATGTTTGAGTGATGCACAGAGGATAAAATGCCTGGAACCACACAGTAGAACTGATGATAATCAAAACTGAACAGCGAGTCCGGAGGCCATTGACAAAGTGCTTTGTAGCACATTAAGCATTTGTTTTCTCTACATAAAGATTATGTGAGAGTTTAGGTCTCTGTTTTGATACTGGTGTAGTCTTACTTGATGTTCAAGACTTTCCAGAACGAACAGCTATTTTCTGTTAATCTGATGATTATTTCCACAATTTTGTCATTAAATGAAAACAAATGCCGGTCACAGTTTCCCAGAGCCCAATGTCTACAAATGTCTAGTTTGTCCAACTGACGGCCCAAAATCCTTTACTATGATATAAAACAGAAAAGAAATCCTCACAATGGAGAAGCTGGACCAAGAAATCAATCATTTGAGTTGGTTTTCAAGCTAAAATGAGCTTGAAAACCGACTCAAATGATTAATCAATTATCAAAACTGTTGCTAATTAATTTATTTGTTGATTTGGTTCCCAGCTAGGTGTATGTAAGATTTCACTCTTGGTGTATGAGTTGTATGGAATGAACACCAAGACTTCAAAAACATGCGGTTTGAAGTTATTTCTATTAAGTATGTCTTCCTGTCAGCATGCCTTTATCCATCTAGCAATCTATTGTGACATCTCACCGGCTTGGTTGGTGGTGATGGTAACAGCGGCGTACTGCCTCATCTTGGGTGCCAATGATGACACACCGTTCTGTGCTTCAATCTCAAAGGTGTAGTTAGTGTGGGCCAGCAGATCGGCCACCGTCACTGTGGTGTTTTGGAGGCCCGTGGCTCTTGGCAGAAAGCGAACATTGCTCCGGCAAGACTCACAACGCTGGGTCCCTCCACTGCTGCCATTAGCAGCAACACCACGACACCGTTTGCAAAGGACAATGAAGGTAATGTCCCTGCGCCCGCCACTGTCCTCTGGCCAGCTCCAGTCCAGGATCACTGAAGTCTCATTGATGGAAGAGATCACATTTCGAGGAGCTGAAGGAGGACCTGGTAGACAGAGAAGAGGTGAGATGGAGGTGAAAAGAAGAGGAGGATGTCATTGGATACATAGGAGAAGAAAGAGGTTTTGGTTGGGAAGAAAGAAAGGTGAGTAGTAGAAAGGACACAGAAGAAAGGGAAGTGACAGGAGAAAAGTAGCATCAACTTCAAAAGGCAGACTGACATTAAATAAAATTATATTTAACAGCACAGTCATCTGCCAAGTTCAGTTCAGTGCCCACAGAATACAAATTGAACAAGAGGAATTCACTTCTCACATGAAAAAATATACAAAAGATTGTTTTACGCCATTTTTACAGCCAATGTAATAAAAAATAAGTACAATTCAAAATATTGTCTAATCTCTCCACAACGTGTGATTTTATTCATAAACACAATATTCATACAAATACTGTATGTATTCACACCTGGATGCTGCCCAACAATAACCAAATGGGAGTTAAGTGCCTCGTCCAAGGGCATAGTGACAGTAGTTGCGGTAAGGTGGTGCATACTGGTCAGTTTTCCAGAAAGACCAGATCATTTCAAGGGGTCTTACAATTGCAAAAGTAGTGTACCTAGTTAGAGTGCTGTAAAACGTATACAGAAGTATGTTTGCATTAATATGAGCCTGTATGTAATACAGTATGTGTCTGTTTCGATGTCTCCTTCTGGATCAGTACAAGTGGAGAAGGGCATGACACAGGCTCTTTACAAAAAAAGTCTATGTCAAAGTCAGGCTGACATATGAAAGTAAAAACATCTTATTACAAACAGATCTCTCTGAATATTTCCAGATTTTTATATCAAAGCTATGGCTGTAATTACATGGAGGACAAAACAAAACTGCCAAATAACTCCACAGAGAACTTGAGCAGGAGGAAGAGGGAGAGAGATTGAAATGGGCTTGGATTGTGTCTTGAGATAAAATGCTTTGTTTAGTTTGTTTGACTTGATAAGAATTTACTTCACTCCAAAACTATGCGTAGCTCCTGTCTTGGTAATCAAAAGAATCAAAAGAGTGAAATCAAAAGAAAAATACACGAAATGTTCAGTGAAAATCTGAAAATGACACTAGCGTATCTGCAACTCTTACAAATCTAAACTGAAGACTTCTTAAGACACGTTTAATGTTGTAAGAAATCTAACGTGACTCTGGAGTTTAAAAGCAGTTTTTCAGCTCATAGACTAAATAATCTGTCACAAGGTATAATGAAATGAAATAAAATCAATTTAATTCACATTTTAATACACACTGAAAGGTGTTACAATTATCATTCAAACTTATGGTAAAATATATGATTTCATATCAACTCAGCCTCAACACAAATCACCAAATGCAAAGAATTTGGTGTCCTGTTATTATCATTAAAATTACATTAGATTAGGCACATTTGATTTAAAGTACATCTAACATTACATAATTAAATGTTTCTTAACCATTGAGATCAGAGCTAAAATTCAAGAGGCTCTCAGCCAATTCTAGTTTAGCAATAAACATCAAATGATTTGTCAAGAGACACTGTCAAAATTATTACTCCTTTTGCACTGAATATTTGATATCCTTTATTAAAAATGTATTCTTAAAAGTGAGACGTAAGAAGTATTTTCTTTGATACTAATCTGACCATGACAGCCCTCTGGTTCACCTATACAGCTAACTCCAATGACAACATCAAACCATTGGACCTGTAATCCCTATAAGATATTACCTGCACAGGCACGCACATGTACACATGCAGGCAATCATATACTAATTCCAAATGTCAAAATAATACATTGATGTGGAGATTAACATGTGACATGAATTATGGCGTGTAAGAACTGAGGATGTGAGAGTAATCTGCAATCCCTCACAAAGGGATTTATGTATTGACAATTCTCTTTCGGCTCTTTCCAGCCTCCTGCTTATACACTGGAGATGCCAGCAGATGCTGAAACTTTAAATTTTTGAAAAAAAAAAGTGATTTCAAAGTGTCTTTCATTGAGTCACAGCAATGGCAATAATCAGTAAGGCGGACCAGCACGTGCATTTTTGTGCTAATTTGGAGGCGGTGTTGTGGGACGTAGGGGAATGCATTGATGCATTTTTAATTGGTGGAACTGAATTCTTGGGAGCAGACGAACTATACTTTATACACTGTTAAGACAGCTGTTACAAAAACGTCTCCTGTTGAATACAGCAGGAAATACCACACAGTTGAAAGTTTTTTTAGCATTTATTTTCCTGCCCTCTGAGATTTCCCTGCAACCATTTTCAAATTTCCAGAGTCAATTCTAAACAACCTCTAACAGCACCGCTAACAGCAAAATCCCCCTTCTGAGATAATCATGATCATTATCTTCTAACAATGTATCTATTCATTTGCAGCCCTTGCGTCGCTCAATCTGTCCCAATGATGTGAAATTTGCCTAGTTGACAAGATGGTGTTGAGATAATCACAACAGGGACCTGCCGTGACTGTCTTTCTAATTAGGATTCTGTCTATGGCTGTGGGCGTCAATTTGTATTTTCTACTGTTCTCCACACGGTGAAAGATTTTTTTTTTCTCTAGCCCATTTAGTAACGGATGTATCCATAACCTGACATGAGGGAATGCAGTGATTTATAGTTTTATGGGGAATGCATTTTGGAAGGCTCACAGGAGGCATCTGCATCTGCAATCCATTTGCATCAGAGGCAGACAAAGGAGAGTCATGTAGAGTGAGTCATGTGATAGAGAGTTCTTGGGCAGCCGTGACTTTTGTGACCTTTCAATAGATAGGGAATTTAACGCTCTTTGTCTATTAGTAAGCTATTGTTCCGGGTGAAATGGAAAATTTCACTATATTGTCAACAATCTTCAATTATATGTGTAGGAAGCCAACTATAAATGACATTCTGCTAACAATAAAAATATTGTGTAAATGCTATCATACTGTTTAAACGATAATAAATTATATGGATTATATTTGCATACATACCGTTTGTATAGGCAGCTTTCTCATCATTATTCAGTGTGAAAAGCATCTAAGAGCATTTTAGACCATCATAGGACACTAAAAGTCTGTGACAGTCAAACTAATGGGTTACATTGGCTCTTCAAGGCAAAGTTAAGACAGGTTTATTTGCATGTTTTATGGGCTAATGAGAAAAAAATCCTCCTACACCACATTCTTCTCTGGTCAGATATCTATAATCATAGCTGTGGTCAGGGAGGAACCCGCATCACATCAGGATGCCACTGACTCCTCGTATAATATATGAAATAGCCCCAAATGTTGAGCTAACAGCGGTATAAAAGCACACTTACGGGTACAGGCCATGGAGGCAGGGTCTCCCTCAGCACGGAAGTAGTTTTTCTCACAGCCACAGTGCAGCGACCCCTCATGGTGAGAGAAACTATGAGGCGGACACTTCGAACACTCCATATTCCCGAGCGTAGATTTGTAGAAGCCTGCCCTGCACACTGGAGACAAAAGAGTACAGACAGATGCATGAGTGTCATGCTGAACCAGCACATCGATAGCGATCTAATAGCTGCATTCTTCGTCAGAGCACCTATAACAGGAGGAAGGAAGAAATGAAAGATGGGGATTGTTTAATGCACTCGCACACACACACACAAAATGCGAGAAGAGGACTGAATGTAAATCTGCCGTTAATGTAACAAGAGTCCATCGACTGCTGGTAAAAAACAATAATTCTCTGAAATGTCTTTGTCTCTATTTCTCCCTCTCTTCATCTCTCAGAAGGCACAACATGAATAATGCAAATTGTCCCCTCAGATAAAAGGGCTGTTCTCTTTAAATATCTGTGGTATTAAATCTGCACTCAGCAGCTCTTTTAACTCCTACTCACCACAAAGCTGTTGCAATCTGTGCAAGTAGGGTGACACTCCACCTGTGTAAAGTATTGTATGTGTAAGTGTATGTGTGTTTGTGTGTCTGCGTAGGAAGGAAGATCAAGGGGACTGGGGTGGGTTCTTTCCTTTCTCTATCTATTTAGTTTCACCCCTTTATCGTCTACTCCTTTCTTCTTCTTCTACAGGTTCAGACCCATGTCGTCTTATCTAGACTTGATGATGGGATACAAAGCGTTTAAGCCTTACAAAAAGCCTTTCTTCATGATGGCAAAGTAAATTTTACAGTAGGGTTTAACAGTGTTGTACTTCCAAGCACTGGAGGTAGATCTACTGCCAGGATTAAACAGCATTCAGCAAAACATTTCACAAATATGATAGAAATTCAAAATCTTTTAATGTGACAGTGTTTAAAAGGTATCAGATGTTTTTAAATTCAATCCATTTTAATGGAAACATTGCATTTAGATCAGAAATTAATAAATGATTAATCAATATGCCTAATATGTAATTATGTATTATAGTAAGAGATGACACAGATTGGACCTGATTTTTATTAACATACAAACATGTATAGTAATCTGATACTGTTGGATGCAAAGACAAACAAGCATGTTCTCGCTCTCTTTCTCTTTCTCTTTCTGTCTCTCACACACACTCACACACGCACACACACACACACACTAGATGAAAAAATGGCTAGCAGCAATAGCAGCGAGCCAGCAGAATGTGTGGGCTCAGCAGAACAGGTCTGACAGATCCCAGTGGTGGACAACACACTTCTGCAAAAGCCAACACTGCTGATACTACTGCCATATCCATCACTGACACTGGCACACCAAGGTCCCCATGCTGCACTAAATACTCCTCTACCCCCCCTTTACAATGTGTACATGTGTGTGTGAGAGTGATAGAATGTGAAGTGGGTTTAAACAGTCCAATATGATCCTACTGATGGAATGACAACCACAACACTTGCTGACACACACAAAACAGACCACCCTGATTGGAGGACACAGCAGGAAATAAGACCTGACAGCCAGCGCGCCCAGCCAATCAGGTAGAAGAAGCAGCGAGATAACTGATGGGTCAGCAGAAATGCGCAATGAACATAAAACAGAAGCATGGAAAAACAGACAAAAGTTAGATTGGATTAATCTCTTAACAGTAGCAGACTGAGCCTTCATCTGATCCATGAACAAGCTTTGACAGAGCACACATGCCCCTTAACAGTTCACCCTTGGATAACACCAAACAAAAATGCCTTCATATTCATCGGGACAGTTAAACCACTGGGCTCACTTCCAACTGGACCTGTTTTCATTTAGCTACCGTATGTAGGCTACCTCTTGGCATCAATCTCACTGCGGATTGGAAACAAATCAATATGGAGACATGCATATTCTAAGGGAAAGTTGTTAGAAAGAATGTTTTAGTGTTCATATTTAGACATCCCAAGTCATATTTGTATTAATGATGTATGTGGAATTTGCTTTATAGATAATGTTTTTTTTTCTTGTTCTGTTACAATAACATTAAGACAGGTAAGGGCGATGAAGACAGTTCATTTATCTTAAAATGTACAGTTGTAAGCTTTATAAGCAGGATTTTCCAAAACCATATGTGGCTCTCAGGTCCAACGCCATTGGTTCCCGCTAACTCTTTTGGGTCACAAAACTATATTTGCATTTTGAATAATTTCTCAGGTTTTAGCAAACTACACACACAGGAGTAAATGGCACATTTGTTGGACACTATTTTCAGCTGTGGATTAAAACACATTTTGAAACTGCATTGCACAAGGTCATTGTAATGACATGTCACCCTGAACAATGGTGTGGCTCTGTGTGGTTAATAGTTTTTGGACAACAGTAGAGGTCCATAGCAGAGAGGAATGAGCTGATTATTCTGTTCTTTGGCTACACTGAAAAGACATGTTAATAGGATAAAGTTCATATTTAAAAGAAAATAGAACATCACCATAGTTATCCTTTAAGCATGGCCCTCTGCAACTGCTATAGGGACTTAACATCTTACTAGACTTGGGCGAATGACTCTGGCAAGTCAACTCCACAAACGAAAACGAAAAACAGCCTAATTTCTACTTGAAAGTTAAAAATAAACGGGGACTTTTCAGCGCGTAACACAGCCGTGAAACTTATTAGGCACTGAGAGGATCTCATAAACGTTCAATGTAAAAATTAATAACCAAAGCTGCACTTACAGTATGAGGTTTTCATATGACAGTATAGTGATATGTTGTATTTTCTTGACCGCAACCCTAAAAATATTTTTATAACAGTTGGAAAAGGATAATAAAGGTCCCATTTCTTCCTTGTGTGTCTGCCAGGTTAAAAAGCAGCTCTGACAGAGGCTGATGGTAAAATCAGATTTTGCTCACAGGAGGTTAACTACTCATCTAGAGGAGATGTGTTACACTGACATTCACCAGCAGTGTGTGTGCAGGACCTTGAGTGGATAGTATGATACCGTGTGTGGTAGCGTGTGTGTGCCCCAGGAGAGGAAACACAGTACCTCTTCAGATGACAGAGTATGTGTGATTAATTAAAACATGTGTGAAAATAACACATAGACACGCACATTTCACAAGAGCATCGCTGCCTTGACAAATGAAAGGGAAAATTAAATATCTGCAGAGGAGAAAAATATGAAGGTTCTCCCTCCGGAATCATCTTTTATTTATTTTCAAATCAATAACAGCAGCAGGAACAGCATGTAAGGACTGTATCACTGTCATTGTAAGTAGTCCTTTGTGATACGCACACACACACACATACACACAGAAACATGCATTCAACTTGAAATTCTTGCAAATACTCACACACTCACAGGGGTATAACACGACGTCTCATTACTTTCACTTACATAATGACAGCTGAAACACAATCTCTTCATTCACTTTTGAAGACCAGTACACACTTGCGTTTACACACACACACACACACACATACACACACACAAACATGCACACAGACACGTGCACTCACATACAGATGCAGCAGTCACATGATATGGTGGTTGTAAAATAACTGGGGCTGCAATTTGCTCAATCAATAGTCTAGGTCATAGGACACCCTCATCAATAATTAACATGGCTGCTGGATGGTCTAGTGGTCACATGCAGACCCTCTTTTACTACACGTTAGTGGAAAACCTGACCTGACCTTGGTGAGATGGGATTTTGTTACCATGCACCTTTCAAAATGGGACCAATTTCGAGACAACAATGAGAATTCATTTTCCAAATTGCTCAGTGGTTTAAAAATGGAGCCTGAGATCTGTTTGTAATTGATAGCTAAAACTTAGCTACACTTTTCAATGCTGAAAGTCTAGCAATGCATCCAAGAAATAACTTTGGAATCAGAAATCCATCACAGGATTATTATCTCATTAGAAGCATAGATAAGCTTTTAATAGAACATACTGTAATCATTAGAAAAACCGTGACCGAAGATTGCACCCAGTATGTTACTTCTCACATGACTCGTTTCCTCTCAACCTCACTCGTTACTACTAAATGATTTGTGTCACGCATGGAAAGTGGGAAAGTAACTCTGCCCTTGACCTCTATCTTTGTGTCAGCCAAACCCAAAGCTTCAGTTTTGGTCTCTCTCTCTCTCTC